TTAACTTATGCAATTATAATCAGACAATAATAATTTAATATTAAAACAATAATAAAAAAAGACTACGCTATATTTATAAACATTAACAAAAGCAATACATTAACTGTCCCCTTCACACTCATAGACCGCGCGAGAGAGAGAGAGATGGGCAAACTTTTCATGATGCGCATGTAAACACACATTCACAAACCCTACACAAGCGCAACGTGTGAATGGGTTGAACGCGAGTTACATGGTAATCGAAGTGGGGGGGTGTTAGGTTTTATTTTCGTTACGGAATTTCTTGATTCGGTCATCGCGCCCAAATCCTTCGATAAAAGCTATGCAATAGCTTAAAGACTCGCACTTAGACTGTTGAAGATTTTTTTAAATCTATCAGTTGAAATTTATGTCGCACCGAGTCAATAATCGCTTACACGGTTATTAATTTCCACGTACTAAAGTGATAAATTCTTTCAATATTAGTACGGCAATGAAGAAGCTTGATAATGTATCGCAGCATAGCATGGAATTGGTGCTTAGAAAAATATTTCACACGGTCACTCTCTATTCCATGCTAATCGTAAATCTATGGTCAATTAGTAAACAAACAAATTTTATGAGTACACGTAAGAAAAAAGATACAGAAAAACGAGGCTACAGCAGAAGTTATGCTGTTTACAGCAACAGATTAGCCTGGGTCATATTTGGTAGAATTTTGTTGGTCATGCAAAACCTGTATTATTTACAATGGACAGTCTCAAGCTATAGTCTAACTTTTATCATTGATAACTACTTTAAAAATAAATTTACAGAAACTAATCGCCCAAATCCGTTGACTAGAATGTGTTTTTGCTATGATATTTTCGTTTGAATTGCGAGTTATTTTTATTTTTTTTATTGCTTAGATGGGTGGACGAGCTCACAGCCCACCTAGTGTTAAGTGGTTACTGGAGCCCATAGACATCCACAACGTAAATGCGCCACCCACCTTGAGATATAAGTTCTAGGTCTCAAGAGTAGTTACGTAGTCAAGTAAGATGAATAGTCCGCGATTATCCACGTATGTCAGTCCATCCGTCAATCTGTGGTCAGTCGGATTGAACGCAACGAAAACTGATCGTGTAAACCGCTTTAATGCTATTTAATAAACGTAATTTAGAATTGTTTTAGTTTTTTTTTTACTCCTTATTAATAATATATGGTAACTACGCAGTGTCTCGTGCCCACTACTAACAATTGTGACAAAAAACTACATGGAGTCGCTGTTAAGGCCGTTTAGATTTGGTGACGTCACGAAAACGGACGGAGACATTAATTTTTAATTAACATATCTGTAATGCGAAGCCGGTTTTGTATATGCAATACAGATTCGGGCTGGTTTAAAAAAGATGTTCATTTATAAAAAATATATTTATAAGTTACAGAATTTTGAAGAAAAAAAAACCACTTTTTTGTTTCTGTTTGATATGATAGAAATATAGAATAGTTTAAAAAAAACTTAAAAAATACGCTATTATAGAAAATCGAAATAAAAAATTTAAAATAAATTTTAGTAAATTTGAATTAAAAATAGTGTAAGAATTTTTTTTTATTGCTTAGATGGGTGGACGAGCTCACAGCCACCCTGGTGTTAAGAGGTGATTGTATTGTAAAAAAAGCGTGGGGTGCATGGTATCAATAGTTATAAATATTTTATGATATGAGTAGGAGGGTTATTTTGATAATATACTGAAAAGCACTTCACGCTTTTTTAAACTATTATTTATTTTTGATTTTTAGTTGAATTCCAATTTAATAATTTTATTTTTTTTTAAATTTTCAAAAATTCCATCTGAATCAGTCGATAACTTTTCCGAGAAATAGGTGATCGGCGCGTCTGGTAGTTTCCCTTCTTGGTCTTGACGCAGACACTCCGGGTCTCAGGAAAACAAAAAAATCGCTAATCCTGATTATCCTCCTCGTAAGGATAACGGATCAATTTATTTAAAATATTGAATTGTCATCGGTGCTTAATAAGTATGCCAAATTTCGAGTTAATCCGACGTTTTGAAGGGGGTCAAAATCATGTTCAATAAATTCCGTTACATACTAACATACGTATGAAGCTAATAAAAGCGTATTAAAAAGGCCGAGCTCTTACGAAATCGCATAAAGATTTTTCATTTTAACCAATGGCTTCATTGTTTTTTTATTAGTACTGACAGAGAGTTCCATTCGGTTTTAGAATACTAAGTACGAAAAGCCCATAGACAACAAATACCATACATATAAATATAAATATAGCTGCCCACGCGGCGTGAAGAAAAAGTCCCTATTTTATTGGAATGAAGCTGAAATATAGCTATTTTACACGAATCGTAAGGTGTCTATGGACACCAGTTCTCTTTAAAACTGGTGGACCGTACGCTAAGTTACAAGTAACACTGTACTGGTGGTAGGACCCCTTGTGAGTCCGCACGGGTAAGTACCTTGCCTATTTCCGCCGTGAAGCAGTAATGCGTTTCGGTTCGAAGGGTGGGGTAGCCGTTGTAACTATACTGAGATCTTAGAACTTATATCTCGAGGTGGGTGGCGCATTTACGTTGTAGATGTCTATGGGCTCCAGTAACCACTTAACACCAGGTGGGCTGTGAGCTCGTCCATCCATCTAAGTAATAAAAAAAAGCCTAGTTCTCGTCGATTGAAAGTTTGAAGTGATCGTGGCCTAAAGGAAAAAAATAGGAGCTAATAGGAGGCGATACGCCTGTGTTAAACTGTGTGAACATGGACAAAACGGATGGGTACCGCTACCCTGCCTATTTTTGTTGCGAAGCAGCAATGCGTTTCTGAAGAGTGGGGTTTCGGCAACCGCTTAACACCGGATGGGCCGTGAGCTCGTCCACGCTTCGAAGCAATAAAAAACTTAGCGATATCTATGAGCTTCGACAATCACTTAACGCAGCGGTAGGCAGCGGCTTGCCTCTGCCTGACATTGCTGAAGTCTATGGGCGACAGTAACCACTCACCATCAGATGGGCCGTATGCTCGTCTGCCTACAGGGGCAATAAAAATAAATAAATGAAAAAAAATAAAAAATGGACAACAGACGTATTTTACGTATTCCTTGTTTACATTTCGATTAAAATAAAAACAGGAAACAGCGGCTTGGCTATGCCCTTCACATTGTTGATGTCCACGAGCATCGGTAACCGTTCACTGTTATGTGGAGCTGAACTCTTCAAGGCCGTCTGGGAATTTAGCTGCCAATCAAAAGGACATTATTTGATGTAACTATTTCTTTAATTTTTGTGGCGGGTGATAAAACTCGCATTCTGTGGTGTGAATGCCACCCACAATCACTATTAATAATTAACCTACAGACATAGACCACTGAGTTTCTCGCCGGATCTTCTCAGTGGGTCGCGTTTACGATCCGGTGGTAGATTCTGCGAAGCACTGCTCTAGCTAGGGCCAGTGTTAGAAACACTCCGGTTTGAGCCCCGTGAGCTCACCTACAAGTTAGGGCGAAGCTGAAATAGCCTCTCAAGGCTATCAGCATAGGTAGGAAAAAATAATAATTAAGAAGGCTGTATAGTAGATATTAGCTTATAATCCAGCGGGCGAGCAAACGGTAGCTTATATTCTAATCAATAATTATAGTTCATTGTCCGTCGCTAACTCTTTAGCTAACTTAAACACATAATATATAAACCACAGGTTTCAAATTATTTTATATGTTCGAATAATATCTGTCAATTTACGGTCTGTATTTTTGTGATATTTGCGTGATAAATATATAAATAATACGGATAATAAACCGTTTATTATTGCTGTATGAATTTAAGAGCTTCATTCACATGTAACTCTGGTCGCCCCGTCATGTATTTGTCAAACAATAAAATAGGTATTTCTTATAAATATTGAAAATAAGCGGAGACTACCCACATAAAAAGAAAAAAGAAAACATTGTTTCACTTTGAACAATCAAACCATCCTAGAAATATTCTTACGGTTTAACTTCGCGTGTATTATTGTCGTTATATTCCTACAGACGTTGCGAATACCGTAGTTTTCGTGTTTACGTACGACCAAGGAGAGGTGTGACAGTAGTTTTAATTATTTCTAGAAGACTAGCAAAAACCGAAGATAATGTTATAATTAAAATCCCTTTCAACTATTTTAGACATCAGTGTGCTTGGTGTGAATTTTTTAACTTCTCAATCGTGTAAAAGTTAGCTCAAATTTGTATGGAGTTGGAACAGCGCTCCTAGCGGCAAACTCAGTGGAGTTGCAAGCAAACCGATGGACGCTTCGAAAACGGATGCAAAAGATAAAGCATAAACAATTACATAAAAACAACTTTGTACCCACACTAATTTAAAATTACAACAAAACGGAAGAAGCGTCCCTGTGAATGGTGAATGATAAATCTATATAAGATCGATTATAGTATACACGTAAGCGAATTCCACTTTATTTGTAAACAATAATCAAATGTGCATGAGTAGAAAAATTGTTTTGTTTTAAATCTAAATTGAGATATTACGTAGTATTTAATATTTACAATGAAGGCTTTGTAAAAAACTTTTGAAATTACCCGAACGAATAAAATTTGTCAACAAAATTGAATTTATAAAAAAATACGGGTTCATTTCATTCACTTGAAATTTTTATTTTTTTCTTCATTTCATTTTCCAGAAAAGCCGAGAAAGTGTTCGAAACATCGAATTAGTGAACGAAGCTTTAAAATCGTTGAATTGTTTTTGAATAGCCTCAATGACTCGTGTTAGAAATTAATAAACTCATTAGATTAATATTTAAATAATTTCAAAACTCATTCAGTCTAAGTATTCCGTCACCCACAAAATTTGCAGAAATCATTGCGCTCTTAAATTATATCTAAAACTTTAGTATCAAAAAACATTATAATTAATATAAAAAAAAAATATTAAGTCACTTTAATTTACGAATTAAAACCGCATCGTTTACAACATATTTTTTCGATGAATAAATTTCAAAAATAATAGTAAAAAACTCACTTAAAATCGCAAACAAATACTGGTTAATCCTAGTTCCGCTTTTCCACATCATTTTTGTTAGAACGATATTCATTTTAGTTATATATTTTTTGTCACTCTGCGATCGTGTTAATCTTTTTCGACCGGACGATGCCGCGACTTTGAATGAACTGAATGCTTGACACAGAAAATGCAAAACGTACCTACGATACTTTGTTTTTCATTAGCTTTTTTTATTATTTACTTTAACGGCTACGAGTTCATAGATTCCTTGTTCGTGAGAAAACATTTTAATTGATGATACGAAGCGTTAAGTTGTTGATTTTGTTCTTAACGAAAGATTCATTGTTGCGAATGAGTGTTATAGTTTATTATTTATATTATTATTTAATGGGTATATTACAGATTAATTACAATGAATGCATTTACATACCGGTCGTCTTAAAGTTTTCTTTCGTAGATAAGTCCGGTTGCTACTGCAAAGCATTTAAGGGAAACACTTTGAAGGGAACAGCTGAAATTATTATATCCATTGGTTCGACGTTGCGGTGATTGGTGCGCTCTTCTGATCGACCACGCTTAAAAGGTAAAAAAATACCTGTTCTTTTACCGAATGTAGGTTGTATTATGACCTTACCGGGGTAAGTAACACTTTACTATTCCTGCCGGAATCAGTCATGCGGTCCAGTTTGAAGGGTGGGTTAGTGGGTCTACAATTGAGATTTTGACTTTCTCTCTCAAGATGAATAGCGGGATTTGTACATTATGTTGTGTATATAGGCTTCAGTAACCACTTAATAATAGATGGTTAATTAGTTCATACGCTACTACAACTAAATAAACAAATTAAACCTACATAGGTCGCCAAGTAATCAAAGAAAATATTGTTCTATATTTTAATTATTTTGGAGGAGTTGGTGTTTGAGTACTAGTACACGTAGATACAATAAGGTTATACAAGTAGTTGGTATAGTTTTCGCATATCTGTATCATACAAAAAAATAATACGCAAAACAAGCAAATCTCTATACATAAAAATGAATTGCTGTTCGTTAGTCTCGCTAAAACTCGAGAACGGCTGAACCGATTTAGCTAATTTTGATCTTGAATTATTTGTGGAAGTCCAGAGAAGGTTCAAAAGGTAGATAAATATGAGAACGCTCTGAATTAAATAAAAATAACAATTTTGTTTTGATGTGTCCCCCCGTCGGTCTTTTATTTATCGATTGAGGCACTACGAAGTCTGCCGGGTCAGCTTTTATCAAATAAAATCTTTAGGCGGAAGTTTATTTTAAAGAACTAGCGAAATAAATTTGTCGAGACGAAATTTTGTTCGAAGCTGTAAATCATGTTTGAAAATGTTTTGTTGTTTTTAAATTCCAAAGCGTGTTTGTTGATTACTGACGCCGGCCACCGGAAGGTATAACAATCATAATAAATATGTTTGCTTTTATTTCCACGGGCGACATTAAGAATAGAATAATTCGTAATTTCTGAATTTATCATGATCGATACTTTGAGTGATTTCTTTGGTCGGAAGGAAATTGTATGACTTCCGCTTACGCCTTGCAGGAAGTTGGTGATTTTACTGGTGGTAGGATCACTTGTGAGTCCGCACGGGTAGGTACCACCACCCCGCCTATTTCTCCCGTGAAGCAGTAAGAAAGAGGTTCCCCACCCAACCCCTCCCCTCCCCGGATGGGTAGGTGAGCTCAGCGGCTCAACTTGAGAGAATTTGCTAATACTCGGTTTGAAGGGTGGGGCAGCCGCTGTAACTATACTGAGACCTTAGAACTTATATCTCAAGGTGGTTGGCACATTTACTTTTTAGATGTCTATGGGCTCTAGTAACCACTTAACATCAGGTGGGCTGTGAGCTCGTCCACCCACCTAGGCAATAAATAAAAAAAGATCTATCTAGCGCGCTGGTACCAGGAGGATGGGACGACGCGTCGGCGGCTGCGATCCTTGGTGCGGTAAGCGTTAACGTCATCGCCGGATGTATTGTGGAAGAGCCACCCAGACCACGGCGTATCGCGTTCCGACCCGGCACGCTGGTTCTGACCCTGGGGGGTATCCAAGAACACCAGCGGCACCGGCCAGGCGGCCGTACCGCGGAGATTGACATCGTTCATCGTCGACGATAGCCTTGATGACCCCTTGGGGCGGCACAGCGAGTCTGGTTGTAGGGTTTACCGCGGAAACCGCCTAATCTGCTCGGGTTCTGAGCCCGGGCGAGAATCGCACATAGAATGTAAGGGCTGTTTGGTGAATAGGGCTCTAAAACATCATTAGGCCCACGGCTTGTCCATAGCATCTGCAGACCGTCAATTTCCACAAACCCAGCGTACCCCCTAGGTGAGGATACCTCGTTTGAAGTTCAGCCCACTGCCCGAAAAAATAGGTAGGCGGTGCACAATCGGAGTTAAATTGACTAAAAACCCTGTCGCTCAACAGCCGCGTTCGAACTTTGAATGAGCTCATCAGACTGAGGGCAACATTACTTGTTTCGCATGTGCACACCTTGTGTAGGTTTACGACGAAAGGAAGATCTTCCACCAAACGGGTGATATTTGGTCGGTAGACCGACGGTCCGAATGTCATTGTTCGGAACTTGTATATAAGCAAGCTTATCTTGAAAATGTAAGCGAGATTCAGGCATCTGTCAAGTATCTTGCGTTGTATAATGCTATCGCCACATACCTCCATTTCATCTTGCCTCCACTGGATACCGAACCGGTACCAAGATCGCCGGGCTTCCCGGTCCGCAGTCGGGTCCGTGATTGACGGCATCCGTCACTATCCGGCACTCTCTTTCACAAGGTTCGTGTTGAGTTCTTCTTGAGTCAAAGCGGACCGCAAAAAAGCACATGGAGGGGACCGGAATGCTCTAGTTTTGCCTAGGAATAAAAAAAAGTCTGTAAGATAGATGTTAGAAAACTTGTTTGATTAGAGGTTTTATTGGCTGTTGATGTTTTTATTCGAAAGGCCTTAGAACTCCGATCGCACTTGTACCAGCAATTATAAAATTCGCTACGTAGATAGCTAAATAGATCTTTCCTCATTTTCACGAATTACTTGCTTTTTTTTCCTACCTATGCTGATAGCCTTGAGAGACTATTTCAGCTTCACCCTAATATGTAGGTGAGCTCACGGGGCTCAAATTGGGAGTGTTGCTAACACAGACCCTAGCAAGAGCACTCCTTCGCAGAATCTACTTCCGGATCGGAAACGCGACCCACTGAGAAGATCCGGCGAGAAACTCAGCGGGCATTTACTTCCACAATGAAGGAGTAACATCATGTAACATTACGTACATACACTTAAACATTAATAAGTTTTATCTGTTCATTCCGACCAGGTATTGTTTTGGACAATAACTTATAATATAGGTACATACGGCGTATCAATAAAATAAATTTGAACTATAATGGATAGCCATAAATTAAAGCTATCGGTTCCATAACAAATGTTTCTGCGTAGCTTTTATTAGCTTTCACATGTTTGTTTACCTTTCACATCTAATTTACCTAAAAATTAACTTCATACGTTTTCATAGATAAGTTGGTTTCGAAAAGGATTTGCAATATCTAAAGCCCACGTCAGTTTTATAATGCTTTCAATGTGTTTACGTGTGATGCGAAAATTACTGTTACAAATTATTTAAATTATATACAAATAAGTATAAACAGCCATATCTTGATTTGCTTAGCCCTATTAGACAGTAGCTTTTCTTGTGTGTGTTAGATTTCTGAATCGGGGATTGCATTTGTGAGCATCCTATTGCGTGCATTAAAAAAGCTTAGCGATGGAGTTTTATTACCCACAAACCGACCCACTCGGCAACTCCAATGTCTTCGTGATTTTGAATTTTACCGCTAAAAGTATCAGACTGAAAATTCAGGAAATTAGTTGTAGGTTTAAGTTAGAAAATGTGACGTGAATATGAAAATATTGTACTCGTACTAGTGGCTCCTATCACAATTGATATAACTAGAATCTTTATTTTTATTGTTTAGATGGGTGGATGAGCTTACAGCCCACCTGGTGTTAAGTGGTTACTGGAGCCCATAGACATCTACAACGTAAATGCGCCACCCACCTTGATATATAAATTCTAAGGTCTCAAGTATAGTTACAACGGCTGCCCCACCCTTCAAACCGAAACGCATTACTGCTTCACAGCAGAAATAGGCAGGGTGGTGGTACATAGCCGCGCGGACTCACAAGGGGACCTACCACCAGTAATTTAGTCATTACCTTGACGTAACTCAAGTTATGAATTTTACTTTTTAATTAAATGATTAAATGATTTGAAAAAATGGATGATACTAGTTCAAAATTCAAATATCAAATATTTATATATTAAATACTTAAATCGAGGAACATAGAACGTAAGCAACAGTTTTCTAATTTCAGTAAGTTCAATATAATTAAACGACACCAGTTTCTAGATTTTTACAGATGGACTGAGAAGCCGTTAAGACTTCATAAGGTCCTTAGAAGATCTTATATGGTCAATCTATCAGAGGATGCATCCATTAACGGTGTTTTTAGGTACCTCAAGCACCGGTCACCTTCCTCGCCGAACCCATCGCTTGCGACGAAGGGCTCGACGAGTGAATTAACCCATAGACACAGCCCACTGAGTTTCTCGCCGGATCTTCTCAGTGGGTCGCGTTTCCGAGGATGTGGTAGATTCGGTAGGCAGCGGCTTGGCTTTGCCCCTGGCATTGCTGAAGTCCATGGGCGACGGTAACCACTCACCATCAGGTGGGCCGTATGCTCGTCTGCCTACAAGTGCAATAAAAAAAAACGCTCTTGCAAGGGCTAGTTTTAGCAACACCTCCGGTCTGAGCCCCAAGAGCTCACCTACGCGCTAGGGTAAAGCTGATATAGCCTCTCAAGGCTATTAGCATAGGTAGGAGACAAAAAAAGAAGATGCAACAAAGACTCAATTGTACAGATCCATTGTACACAGAAATTGAATTGGTAACATAAGAAAAGAATAGAGTCGTTACTGGTGGTAGGATATCTTGTGAGTCCGCAAGGGTAGGTAGGTATTAAATATGTTGCCTTAAAACTAAACTACAAAAGCATTAAATATTAGGTACATTACTACTTACACCTTTATGTGCTAATTTTAATTTTACATTAACAAATTTTCAGGACTGTGAGTAATTTTTGACATAATACTCAAAATATATAACATTTTTATATGGATTGTGTTAATTGATGACATCACGTCAAGTTTTACTATTTTGTCTAGACTAAATTGTGTGTGTTTGTCTACAAATGTCTTCGGTTTTAATTTGGCTTCGGGATTTTAGTTTGAAGAAACCGAACTTAATGGCGCCGAGTTAAGGTGACGAAATACTTAGATGCAACGCAACGTCTACCAATTTCTCCGGGTTTCTATCTCAACGGGGCTCAGACACGTGAGGATTTTTTCTTGCATCAAGGAATTTTTTCCTCGATTCAATTTCATTACTGCCGCCTACATTCATACTACACTAAAATAAAATTATCATAACCTCTTCCAGAGCACAAAGAACACTTGCATTACCAGAGTTGGCTGAAAGCACATCGTGTATACGTTGAACTTTACGACCCACCGGTGAGCTTAGCGTATTCTACCATTCGGGTGAAGCCAAAATCAGGGAAGCAGTAATTTTTATCAACTTGAGATTTGCATTTTAACATTTATAAAATTCGATAATTTGCACAGAAGATAATTATTAGCGACTTCTACCGTATAGTTTTTAATATATTTTAAAAGGCAATTAGGTACTCGATAAAAACTAAAAGTTTCTATTGGATTTGAAAACCACGCCGTTCGGTTCGGCAAAAGGGCCACGCGGCTCACTTCCATACACGTTTTGTTTGATAGCTGCAATCTGTGGCTTCTGCTTCTGCAAGCTGAGCGGTTCAGTAAGATAAGGCTCACCGGTGAGCACCGTGGCCTGAATAAAAATACTAGATTTTTAATATAGCGCTCAACGCGTTAAATTCTGTACCTACATATCTTTTGAATACGTAATAAAAGTAAGCTTAGTTTTTAAACAATCAAATATAATATAAACATCGAAATATCGCTCAAAATTTGTAATTAATGTAAATCGAAACACATAAACGACGGTTGACCTTGAATTTCGGCAATCGCTTCCTAAACGTGACTAATAAATTTATAATAATATTTTTAGATAAAACAACAAGATCGTTTTTTTTTTGGAAATAATTAAATTTATTTTATGTAAGTATTCAATAGATTTTTGGACACACTAGAATTTAAGCTAACATCCGTCTAAAATGAATATTTTGAATACATATTATTATATAATGTACAGTGGGCTACAAAAGTGCAGGTATACAATCAAAATTGTATCAGCGCCATCTAGTAACGAAGTAGGTGCCTACCTCTTATCTATTTTTATTTTCCTTATTATCCGCTGGTAGCCTAAGAGGCTAATCCGGCTGCGCGTGGATGGGTAGGTGAGCTCACGGGCTCAACCTGAGAGAATTTGCTAACACTAACCCCAACAAGAGCAGTGCTTCGCAGAATCTACCACCGGATCGGAATCGCGACATAAATGATCACCCTTTGATCCAGCGAGAAACTCAGTGGGCTGTATGTATGGATTAGTTCGCTGGGTACTTGAGGGCCCTAAAAGCACCGATAGTGAATCTGGAGGATCCGACAAGACATGTTTCGGGCGACGGCGCCGTCGTGGATGGATAATGTCTTCTCTCTTCATCGTTCCCTCACTGCTGAGGAACGCTACCACATATGACTTTCCTCCATAGTGTTCGGTTGTGAGTGGCATGGACCGCATAGTATATAATACCACCAACCGCTTTCTTAACCAGATCTGACCATCTGGCTGGTGTTGTGCCCACCATAAATTTTTGGTATGCTAGGTATACACAGGTTACAATTTGACGGTAGTTCCATGCAAAACACAACTAGATTTTTGGTTGGTCATTGCCGACCCGACGCACTTAGAAAATTAAAATACCAACGCCATCTATTTTATTACTAAAAAACTTACTTTTAACTGTTAATGATGGTGAGTAGCCGATGCTTTTGCAGGATAGCCATCGGAGCACCATGGTTCCCAAGGAATGTGGTTCTCCATGACGACCTGGAGCTTGACTCAGTCAGTAAGTACTTACAGTCAGCATCATTGCGCCACTTTGAGAAGGCGGCACGACATGAAAACCCTCTTGTCACCGCCGGTAATTACATACCCGATCCTGTGCACCGAATGGTAAACAGTCTACGTCGCCCTAAACACGTCATTACGGATCCTCCCAGGAGAAACCTCGAGGGAGTTATTACAAACCAGAATCGAAAAATACTTTCTTGTACATATAAAAATAAAAAAGCAATTTATTTGTGCGACAATTTTATTATAAATGTATATATAGAGGGGGGCTATTTCGTTTAGGCGACATTTTTTCAACGTTAAAGGAGAGCCATTTAAAGTTTAAAATTAATAAAAAATATCGTAATAAAAACTTCTTCACGCATTTGAATGACGTAAACTCGATTGAAATTCAATTAAAAACATCGTATTGTTGATACGAATATCAAATAAAACGGCCTTATAATTAATTACAAAGAATGTCGCCCCTTAAGCGAAATGTCACTTAAATCAAATAAATAGCCTTTCACCTCTCGATATTTTTTTCTTCACTTAAATATACAATAATTCAACTATTTAAACAAAAAATGTACTATTTAATGATTAAACAGTATATTTGGTCCTTCAATTCCTTAAATCAGTTTACATAATTCCAAACGTTATTAAAATAGACACTTTACGCTTCAACTGTACCATTAATATTTTCAAGGGTTTCTCACGTGTGACAAAATACTTATTTTTTATAACGATAGTGTTAGAAGAGTTCTTATGCCCCACTTATTGTTCAGTTATTATTGGAACACATATAGATCGCGATGCCACCATACGTGAAGCATGAGGTCGTAGTCTCAATCAAATAGCCGACATCCTCCTCATCAAAACAGGAACACATAAAGGTCTGTCAAAGGTAAAGGAAATCAAATTTATAACTATTTGTTTACTTAATTGGTTGGGTAATGTTATTCGTTCGTTCGAATAGGATTAGCTAAGGCAGTTGCCTACAGTATATCCGGCAAATAACTGACGCCTTGCCGGATCTTCTCAGTGGGTCGCGTTTCCGATCCGGTTGTATATTCTGCGAAGCATTGCTCTTGCTAGGGCTAGTGTTAGCAAATTCTCTCAGGTTGAGCGCGTGAGATCACCTACCCGTCCGCGCTAGCTAGAATAGCCCTTTTAGGCTAACGGCGAATAAATACGGTTTTTTTTTTCTTGAATCATTGCTTTTTTGAAGTGAAAACTTCTTTAGAATCGTTGTGATTTCAAACCGGATGCAACGGAAAAAACGACAGGCAAGAGACACAAATACAAAAATGTGTAGGATGAAGCCAGCAAAGAATGAGACAGAAATATACATACTATTTAATACAGCGCCATCTGTGAGATTTTTTAATACTAACGTGTGTATGAAAGCTCTTGTAGTGAATTTTAATTTAGGATTATACGTGAAATTAAAATATCAATTCACAGAGGGCGCTACCTTACAATTATTTACTAATGACACAATTTTTCATATATTATACTTAAGACGTTTAGGATAATTGTATTTTAATTTTGGAAGGTTTCACTTCTACCACGTGTGAATTGCACACATGTAATTTTTTTTTTATTGCTTAGGTGGGTGGACGAGCTCACAGCCCACCAGGTGTTAAGTAGTTACTGGAGCCCATAGACATCCACAACGCAAATGCGCCACCCACCTTGAGATATAAGTTCTAAGGTCTCAGTACAGTTACAACGGCTGCCCCACCCTTCAAACCGAAACGCATTACTGCTTCACGGCAGAAATAGGCAGGGCAGTGGTACCCACCCACGCGGACTCACAAGAGGTCCTACCACCAGTAAATAATGCCTGTATATGTTATGTTATGCCGTATATCGAGAATTATGGAGATTGGGAAGTACAATGTCGCATCTACCTAAACAGTTAACAATTCGTCATTATTACACGATTCAACTTGTCACACTAAATTGACAGAACAAAAACAAAACGGGTTTCACGTTCCCGCCAAGAAACTCATTTTACGTCATTTTTAAAAAAAGTCACAGATAACAAAATCTATGCGCACAGAATGCATCACATACAGCCCTGTATTGTCGTTTAGAAAAATAAAATAAAAAACTATAATATGATTTCGTGTTTGAAACTTCTCGCCAAATGTTTATGAGGTAGCACTATGGAGTTTAACAAAATCGTCTCAGCGGGTACCACGACTCCTGCACCTGCAAAATACATTAGAAATAAGCTCTCCCATTGAACGACTTGCAAGGTTACATATCTATATATATAAAAATGAATTGTTGTTCGTTAGTCTCGCTAAAACTCGAGAACGCCTGGACCGATTTGGCTAATTTTGGTCTTGAATTATTTGTGGAAGTCCAGAGGTTTAAAAGGTAGATAAATATTAAAATGCTGACAATTTTGTTTTTTCTTTGATGTGACCCACGTCGGACGGATTCCTTTTGTTTGTTTTAAGTTTATTTTATACAAAAGTTTAGGTCATTTATTTATCGATTGAGGCACTACGAAGTCGGCCGGGTCAGCTACTAGCTTATAGATAATTATAGTGATGATACCCCATCTTGTGAACGCACACGGATAGTTATAACCACCGCACCTATTTCTGCCATAAAGCAGTAATGCGTTTCGGTTTGAAGGTCAAGGTTGGTCATTTCTATCGGTACCACTTAACACCAGATGGAACGTGAGCTCGTCCCACTAAAAACAAAACTATTCATCTTATGTTGTGAGGACCGAAAATATATCATAGATAAAAATTAACAACAACAGATCCCAGGAACCAAATGTGTCTCACGACGTCACTGATCGACCATGTCGAGTACTAAGTCATTGACTACCATATTCTGTTGACATAGACAATATAAAGTGCTTACCCAATATAGTGATAGACGGGTTGAGTCGTCCGTCCGTATTGAATAGCGGTCGGTTGTCCATCTTGGCGAAGGGTTTGTTCGGATCAGGATCTGAAGGAGTTCCTTCTACACGCGACCATTCGCCCACTGAAGCTTCCCGACCGACTACAAAATGAAATAATTGACATGACAATTACTCGAAATTCTATCGTGACGACAAAATACCGTGTTTCACAATTATTTTAAGTTACTGGCGGTAGGACCTCTTGTGAGTCCGCGCGGGTAGGTACCACCGCCCTGCCTGTTTCTGCCGTGAAGCAGTAATGCGTTTCGGTTTGAAGGGTGGCGCAGCCGTTGTAACTATACTGAGACCTTAAAACTCATATTTCAAGGTGGGTTCTAGTAACCACTTAACTACCCGGTGGGCTGTGAGCTCGTCCAACCAACTAAGCAATAAAAAAAAATAAAAAATTCAACGCATTGTGTATTAGAATCATCATTCCCTTTGCCGAAAGAGCATATACGTGATAAACATATTCGTGGACTTGTTCGTATGGAGGGTAGAAGTACGGAGCGTCATCTTAGTGTATTAAAAATTGTCCACTAAAAGGTGGCGGCACTGTAGCAAGTGGAAGGATTTAAAAAACAACATCATAAACTTTTTACTGGTGGTAGGACCTCTTGTGAGTCCGCGCGGGTAGGTACCACCGCCCTGCCTGTTTCAGCCGTGAAGCAGTAATGCGTTTCGGTTTGAAGGGTGGGGCAGCCGTTGTGACTATGTGGTAGCGCATTTACGTTATAGACGTCTATGGGCTCCAGTAGCCACTTAACACCAGGTGGGCTGTGAGCTCTTCCATCCATCCTAGCAATAAAAAAAAACTACCACACTTCAGTTCAATCCAGCACACTTCACTCTGTTTAAAACTGCTGTATTCATATCAGGGGTGAAAGGATATCCACTCGCTTAATACGCAACATTTATCGCAGTAATTAAAGCCTTCGTCAAACAGAACGCGTAATTAGCGCGCGTCAGAGCGCTAAACTGACCCCGCGCTATGACGCCGAGATGTGTTGTACTACTATGGTAACATACCGTCAAACAGAGCCCCAGCGCTATAAGTACGCAGCGCTCTGTCGCGGCGTTGGGACGCTTTGACGTCAGGCGTTGTAATTTTTTACAAATTTTATTTTAGCGTCCGAGTGAATGTGTATTAAAATACTAGATAATGCCCGAAAAAATGATATAAATAGTTAGAAAATACCCATGCTTATACAATGCCACATCTGAATCACTCGATTTCTTAATACTTTTAAATTTTCACACTGCTATCGAAATGCACTGTGATTTGGCGAATGCGTTGCGTCAAGGAGCGTTAGACTCATCTAGTTAATTGGTGTGACATGAAAAGAGCGCGACGTTAAGTACGCGGCGCTAAGTACGCGTTCTGTTTGACGAAGGCTTTAAGGTTTGTTTTATTGGGTATTAGTATCGACAATTCGATGTTTTTAATTGAACTTCAATTAAGTTTACCAAATAAAATGTTTAAGTACATATATTAGTAGATATTATTTCCAAATTTTAAAATTTTAATGGCTCTTCTGTAAAGTTGCAGTGTGCTTAGTGCCAGTTTCTTAACGTTCTCGATAGCGTAAAAGTTAGCTCATATTTGTATGGAATGGGATCGTTTGCGTACGTTTGCCGCTAGGGGCGCTGTTCCAATTGCATACAAAATTGAGTTAACTTTTACGCTATCGAGAACGTTAATAAACTCGCACTAAGCACACTGAAATGTCGCTTAAATAAATCAAATAGCCTTTCACCACTCGATATCATTTCCACTTCCCACTAGCGCTATTTCGGAGAGTCTTCCAACAATAACTTGCTGTTTACAGGCGGACATTTTTTCAATATGTCCCCCCCTCCTTCAAGATGGCGTTTCTTTCATCTACCCTCCATATTTCGATATATGTTATAACCACAAAACAAAGCGTAGGTTCCAAATATTTAGTTGTGCAATTTTCAATGGACTCACCCACAGAATACATGATCAGGGAGTGTTCGTTCACGGTCGCGTTTTCGAGTATTATTGATTCCTTTATTCTGACGCCAGCTTTTATTGTAACGCCCGTACCTATGGAGACGTTAGGCCCGATCTGAGAAAACGCATTTGTTCATGTTATTCTTAATGTAATGTAGATCGAATTTTAAGTGTATTTTCTATGGAGGACCACTGGGGAACATGAGTTGGAAGTATTAATAGCTTAGCGGTAGACCAGTGTGCTTAGTGCGAGTTTCTTAACGTACTCGATAGAGTAAAAGTTGAGTCGTGTGGAGTTGGAACATTTGCCTGTGTTTGCCGCTAGGGAGACTGTTCCAGCCGCATACAAATTTCAGGTAACTTTTATGCTATCGCGAACGTTAAAAAACTCGCACTAAACGCCTTGTGTGCTTAGTGCGAGTTATCTTATTTATATGTAGATAGAATATAATGACAATTTGAAAATCTGGGGTAATGGATAAGCGACTTTATGCCTTTATAACAAATACCAAAGTTGACTTACGACAGCCGTTGAGTCGACAGTGGCGCTCGGGTGTATGTAGACGTCGGGTATGATCTGACAAACGTCGTCTCTAGTGCAGTGTAGCGTTAGACAGTGTCTGTTCGCGTATATCGCGGAACCGGCCGTCTTCACTTGGGACCACCAGCTTGACACCTGTCAAATGTCACAATCGTGTCATCGGCAAAGGGAAATTGATACCAAACTTTTTGAAGCGAAACTTCTTTGGGGGCGTTAAGAGTAAAATTTAACTCTTTACGGCTAAAGAGAAAAGAAACAGTTTAGTAAGAGTTAGGTCGTTTCTCTTATACACAGCATACCCTATTACAAGAGAAATTTGATTTAAGGACGAAAAATAAAGAAAACCGCATTACTACACACCGCAAAAGAAGTTTCACTTCTCCCACGTGCGCCAAGATGCAAACGTACAATTTTTTTTAAAAATCAAATTAGCAGGCAAGATGTTAAACACACCCTTCACGTCGGGAATTTCACAATAAAAGTTTTTATTTATTACTTTTTTGGGTTATTACACTACCCACTCATAGTCCACATTGTTATGTGGTTACCGGAGCCTATAAGCATCTCAAGTGAATGTCGGCATCCGCCATGAGACGTGAGGTCTATATATGTCTCAATTGTATAATAATTACGCAAATTATAATTTATCCGGGTCTCATTTTTATAAAATGTTGATGTTATTCCTTCGTTGTGTCATTTCTGAATGTGAATTAATCATTTCATTAGAAAATTTTCTACCTGCCTACAGGATTTGAACACTGGTATGGTCGCATTGCTGGATACGAATACACTGGAAGTCTTAGCCTTCTGGCCAAGACAACGTTATAAAATCCAATTTTTTTAATGTCAACTCTAAAACTCCTCAACTGCTACTAAATAAGAACAAAACAGTCTCTAAACAATAATAATGGTATTGAAATGCTTAGTCTTTGTCTAATATAGATGGGTATATACATGTGTATAATATAAATAAAGACTATATAGAAATGGTAAATTAAGATAAGAATTGTTCACATAAGTAGCAGTGGGGTTCATTGACCCTCTAAATAAAAATAGAGCATTTCTAAATCTGCGACATTCAACATGGAGTTACCTGCATTGAATACAATTTGTTAGTGCCGGCCAGCGGTGCCAAAACATCCTGCTCCCATGACATGTATCCCGGGTGTGGAGTGCCCTGACCGTTACCACTGGAAAAAAATATTCAAGAATTACTGTACAAACAATAATTAGGTGTGAACTGAAATGAAATTCATGCCCAATGCACTTTCTACTGTATTTTTTTTTTAAATGGTAACAAGCTGTGTCGTAGTAGCGAATGTAGGAACTCCACATTTAGTTGCCACCATCCCTCCTATTTTTGCCACGAAGCAGACTTCCATACCAGTTTGACAGATATTCAAACCTCAAATCTCAAAGAGGATTGTAAAATCATGTGTTATCTATGAGTTATTACAAACAATCTCATGCTGTTGAATCTCTCCAATTGTTTGGGTCTACAGATGTTTGGTTATCAGTGTGTTTTTTTATATCATAACTAGCGACCCGCCCTCGCTTCGCTTCGGAAACATTAAATTTTATTATTGATAAGCGAGTCCCGCCATGTTGTGCGCGGTACGATAATAACTGCGGGTGACGCCGCGGGGCGAAGCTAGTCTAAAAAAGTAGCCTAAGTTACTCATTATACCAGTTACATATTAGTGAAAGTCTCATCAAAATCGGTCCAGCCGTTCCAGAGTTTAGCCGAAACAAACAAACAGACAGACAGATAGACATGTGTAAGTAATGCGAGTGATATTACTCGGGTAATATTACTCTACGATGTAATGCAACATCACACATTACGCGAAGGAAACAAACATCACACTATCACCCAACATGTTTCTTTCTTTGTCGTGTAATGTTGCTTAATACACGAACGGAACCGAGCGAGCGAGACAGACCGATCGACGCAAAATAAATGAGCAAGCGACACGGAATTNTAGACGAAATTCGACTATAATTAATTGGAATTGTAAGTTTGTACACTATTATGATTGTATTTTATACTTCTATAATCACAAATTTCGCCAAGACTACACTATAAAAAATATTAACAAAGACAAACAATATTTAATCTATTCTCAATTTGACAACAGACGTCAAGAACAAAAGTTTGACAATAAATAGTATGCATGCGTGTGTGCGTCAAATACATGGTATGTAGTGTGTGTAACGTTTTCTTTATTGATTTAGTGTATCTTTTATGCATTATTTAAAACAAATATTAGCATTGTGCACTTCTTCTCTATATTCTCTATAAGTGTGGAAAAATTTCATACTAATCCGTCCGCGCAATTTTCGTAAAAAGGGATACAAAGTTTTTGCTTCACGTATGAATATATAGATATTACTTTTATAAATCGTTACGAGAATACCGCATTTTTTTTCCTATCCATGCTAGTAACCTCAATGACTTATCATAGCTTCACTGGACGTGTCGAACTCACGGGGCTCAGCCTGGCTACTTTGCTAACACTAGCTCTAGTAAGTAATTACTGTACGTTTTAAGCACGCTTTTACAGCTCTATTGGTATCGATATGTGTAACGCTAGCTTTCAACGTCATCTTCACTAGCTTTAAGAGGTTCGATTAGCTTTCAAATCTACTCATGTATCAAGGATGTTTCATTCTTCAACGGCTCAACGGTAGGCAGCGGCTTGGCTTTGCCCCCGGCATTGTTGAAGTCCATGGGCGACGGTAACCACTCACCATCAGATGAGGCGTATGTTCGACCGCATACAAGAGCAGTAATTTTCTTTTTACCTTGACCTAATATCCTCAATAGGATAACTGAGGAAAGGGGCAACAATCCCTCGAATTCACATACTAACTTCTAGTCTATAACTTGTTTTTCCTAGTTATCTGCCGGCAGCCTCGAGGAAATATTCTGACTTCGCCTTGGTTAGTGGATGAGCTCACGGGACTCCGCCTGTTTTGGCTAATATCTCTGTCCAAGCAAGATGGATTGCTTCACTGAATCACTTTTACTGGTAGTAAGTTACTGGTGGTAGGACCTTTTGTTACTGGTGGTAGGACCTCTTGTGAGTCCGCGCGGATGGGTACCACCACCCTGCCTATTTCTGCCGTGAAGCAGTAAGGCGTTTCGGTTTGAAGCAGCCGTTGTAACTATACTTGAGACCTTAGAACTTATATCTCAAGGTGGGTGGCGCATTTAAGTTGTAGATGTCTATAGGCTCTAGTAACCACTTAACACCAGGTGGGCTGTGAGATAGTCCACCAATTTTAGCAATAAAAAAAAATTCAATTTTGCAGTTCCTTAAAATAAAAACACTCAACCGATATTGGCTGAATCTTTTTAATCAAGAACAGATTGGACATAGCCGCTTGATCGTGAGAGGACCGTAACAGCGAGTATTCGATCTGACCTCCAACTTCTAGACATTTAACTCACTGCTTATTGATCTGATTGATCAAGTATTTCAGATCGTGAAATTTCCTAATACAGGGAACGAGGTCAAGGCCAGTCTGGTGTTATGTTAGTTACCGGAGCGTATAGATGGTTGTCGCATAGCGCGTGGTTCCGCTTTCCACCTTAAGACATTAGGTTAAAGTCTCAATTGTTTTAACTGAACTGTTTTTAACAGAACGATGGCACCTACACGTGCAAGCTCACAATATGCTCTATCACTAGTAATTCTACAATATTAGAAGCTGATAGTAGAAGGTCATGTCGAATGGTAAAAACCAAAGGACGATCATCTACCCATTCGTCAAAACTGATAGTACCAAGGCGGCACTGAAAATTTCGGGAATTAACGAAGTGACACAACATTACTATTTAAAAATGTATTTATTGCTTTTCGAAGTATTCTCCGCGAAATTTGACACATTTTTCCATACGATGGAACCAATCATTGAAGCAACCATTCCATTCGGAAGTTGGGGTCTCCAAAATGGCCGTTTTGTAGGCGTCCACAGCTTCTTNTACTCGGTGCGTTCAATAGATACTGTGACGACGAATACATTGTATCTATACACCCGAATCATTACCTAAGTGATGTGTTTATACACATCACTTTGAACGCACCGAGTAATGTTAAGAGTGATGTGTAATGTTTTCGAGTAATATCACCTATCTGTAAAAGTGATGTCATATCACATTACATTGGGAAGTGATGTTTTGCGCAAGTCTACAGACAGACAGACAAAAATTGTAAAAAATGTTATTTTGGTGTATGTACCGTATAAATATTCATATGCATGTAGTAAAAAGCGGTTATTTCAATATTACAAACAGACACTCCAATTTTATTTATATGTACAGATAATATGTTCCTTGGGGCTCTGAGGAATTGTTAGAGATGACCTGCCATCAGCTTTGTGCGTTTTTAAGTAAGCATGAGCATCTGTTTTGAAGTATAAGTTTTTATTCTCCTCTCTACAGTACATACCTATAAAATCCATCCTGTTTCTTTTGAAAAGCTTCAGCCATTACTTGAAAAACGTTGAGGGAACATACATAGACACCGCAATTAATTAATGTAGACACATATGAATTTGGCTTCTCTACGTAATGTGTGACTGCATTAGAGCCATTGCATACCATACAACCGTAGTGCACGGATTGTTGGCGTGTTGCTTCAGTACCCATTATCGTTACCTGTAATTAGATTCAACATGTAACATTCAATAAATCTAACATATACAGTGACATTAAATTGTTTGTGGCTCCATAAAGCTATACATTTTCCTACCTATGCTGGTAACCTCAAGAGGATATGCCAACTTAACCGAACAAACAACTATATATGTTCAGTTTAATATTTTATAGAAATAGTATTAAGATAGATATAGTTATCATTGGTACTTCAGATAGAGGTTTTCTGGTAAAGTACTGGTAATATTTGATAGAGGCCACAAGAAATGATATCTCTAAAAATATTTTATATTTATTTCTGAAGAGCTCTGCTAAAATTCAATAATTGTAGACTTTTAAATTGAATTAAGAATTTGCTTCCATCATTGTGAAGCACTTTTTCTACACTAAAAATTACATACTAAATTCTTTTTTTTTACTATATAAAGGATTCTGTTCTGGACATTTTAAAAAATTCCAATGTCCATTAAAATTCACTGTTTCTTGTTTTAATCATATACTTTAATTCTTTGTGAACCTTAGTGCTTTTCTGTTATTTTACTATAATGAACCAACATCATATTTTTATCTTCCTCCACTTCCTGTATTACTTGATTATATTCACATAAACTTGTAATTGTTTTGGTATCTATTCAATGGACATGCTCAGCAAGGGTCCCATTGCATATATAAAAAGAAAAATTCTAGTAATGTGTAACACTTATTATTTGTCTTTTGTTAATAAATAAATAGCAAATAATTCGAAAATCAAGTGATATTGATTTATAATACCTCTGTGAATTTTCCATTTTTGTTTTCTATTAACATTAATCAAATGTAGTTCTAAAAAAAAATCACCCAAACTGGTTTAGACATTTTCATGTGATGCACTTAAGAGAGTGCAGCATTTCAATATAATTATTAAAGATAATTAATTAAGAATCTTACAATAGCATTAGGTTTTTCTTCATGAAATTCGTACATTTCTCTTAATGGAAAATCGGCACAGACATCGCCATTCAATAGAAAAAATGCACTTGGGTTTCCTGCTCGGATTTGATCTCTGAAATGGTACAGACCTCCTCCCGTACCAAGTGGTGTGAACTCTTGTAAGTATCTGCAATTTTTATTTATTACCAGGGTAAATGTTTTAAGTATTTAAACACTTTTTGGCAACATTGAGACTATCAAGGTGTTACCATAGTTGCAGTCATTGCATTCAAAGCTAGCATGAGTTGCTTTACCTATTATTAAAAATTCAAATTCTAATAGACTATCTAATGGCTTTAATGGCTGGCCAAGCCTTCAAACCAGTACTGATAGCGTTTTTACATATTCTAGAAGTTTAATATAAACTTACCTAATTATTACACGGTATAGCTTCTGCATGTCGTTAACAAACTGAGTCATCTGAGTGGTTGTGTATGAGCCTATGATTAAGATCTCTTTGCATTCTCGCAGCTTAGTGCAAGCGGCAATATGATGTTGTATTAAGGGTAAACCGGCTATTGGAAATAGTGGTTTTGGAATGTCAAGTGATAGAGGCCGAAATCGGGTACCTGTAATAAAAATTTAGCTTTTTATTTCAACTATTATGATTAAAAATTTTCACTTCAAGCAATGTTTTAATTTATTAATTTTATTGTCCTTGTAGGCAGGCGATCATACGGCCCACCGGATGGTGTTTTGTTACCGTCGCCCATGGACATCAGCAATGCCAGGGGCAGAGCCAAGCCGCTTTGTTACCGTAGTAGGCAGTAATTTATATTTAAGTTCATTTATTTTACATTTCACTAGAACATAACATATACTGGAATATATATTAACACACTTTATGAAAGAATAAGGCTGGAATTATTGGTGATAGGGCATATCATTAGGCCGGGGAACCTATGTCGGCATTTTCATTTTTTACCTTTTTGTGGTCCTCCGATAAGTATTACGGCTTTCAACATGTTAATGGCGATGTATTCTTCTATAAAAATAAGTAAGTGTGATTCAGTTTATTTTAATTCAGTTCCACTAAAGAAAACAATATCTCACCACCACGTCATTCTGAAAAATTATTTCAAAACAATTTTATTTACTTAGAAATAAATGTCAAACCCAAGATGTCAAACTTTTTTTTATTTCGTTCAGTGAATTGGCAAAGGGAAGATATAAATATTTTAGAACATCAGGTTGAATTACACCCTTGACTGAGACCGTGCTCTCCCACCATCTCAAAAACTTGAACAAACTTCCATTATTAAACAAAATAAAATAATTGTAATCACCCCTCTTTTCGTGTTCCCACTGAAAAGTAGTGACTGTACGTAATTAGGTCAAAATTTGTGACAATAATTATTACAGTTCATTAACGCTTTCTAGTGCAGGAGAAAATAACCTGGAAAAGACCGCAAAACGTAAGATTTTGTGTAAAATCTTTCCAAAATTACTGTCATCGGCTTAGCAGCAGGAGTTAGCAACGCAAATTATAGGTAAAACCTTAATATGTTGTGCAACAATGTAATTTTAGATTATTTTCTGTTGTTTTGAAGTCGCCGTGGCCTAAAGGATAAGACGTCCGGTGCATTCGTATCTAGCGATGCAACGGTGATCGAATCCCGCAGGTGGAAATCAATTTTTCTAATGAAATACGTACTTAAGAAATGTTCACGACTGACTTCCACGGTGAAGGAAGAAAAACATCAAACCCGCAAAATTATAATTTGCGTAATTACTGGTGGTAGGGCCTTTTTTATGTATTTTTTTTCTATTGCTTAGATAGGTGAACGAGCTCACAGCCCACCTGGTGTTAAGTGGTTATTGGAGCCCATAGACATCTACAACGTAAATGCGCCACCCACTTTGAGTTATTCCTTCATCGCTTTAACACGAATGCACCGGACGTGTTATCCTTTAGGCCACGAAGACTTCAACCTCTTGTGAGTTCGCACGGGTAGGTACCACCACCCCGCCTATCTCTGCCGTGAAGCGGTAATGCGTTTCGATTTAAAGGGTGGGACAGCCATTGTAACTATACTGAGACTTTAGAACTTATCTCAACACTTAACACCAGGTGGGCTGCGAGCTCGTCCACTCATCTAAGCAATTTTATACCCGCGCCGTGTCAGATTCGGTAATCGCTTAACATTAGGCATTCTGTAAGCTCGCCGCCGTGGCTGTACTAACCACTTTAAGGTCATGATGACATAATGATGATGATAATGCTGATGATGACAGTACGACTAGTGATAACAACTATTTTGATTGAGTCGTAGAATTACTTTTGTACGCACTCAGATGATTTGATTTTTGACGAATAAGTACCTACAATTGAATAAGGAATTGTTTTATGTAATTTTCATTCACATTTGGCGTTTACACCACAGATATTGTACATACCTAGTTATTTAAATACACAACACATAACAAAAAGAGTTCAAATCCACCACCATTTTCCCCTCATTTTCTTCTTTATACCAGCTTACTACCCATTTCTCCTAAATATTAAAGCATTGTCAATTAAAATATTGAAAACAGTTTATAACTTACATTGATTGGATTGGCAATCTCTCTTGTACATACTCATGGGATCATACTGAGCCACATGAAAAATAAAAGTAGACTACTTTTTAAATCAAACGATCGTTTCTAAAAGTTGCTGATAGTAATTTTAAATATTGGTACAATTTGGAAGTAATATTTCGATCACATAGCACAAAATCGATATGCCATTAAGAGTATAATACCTACCTACACTACAGCGCGAGCTCTTGTCATATTACACAATATATCGAACATGAATTGAGGAAACCCTATCCTGGATATTCATTTAAAATTTTACGATATTCAATTTTTTAGCAACTTGCATCTAGAGTTCCGTATTAAACTTTTGTTTTAATTCAGTTGCAATTAGAGAAAAAAAAAAACAATAGTTTTGGCGGGAATCCGAGAAGCAAAGTTGTGTGAATTGTTTAATTTCGTAAATTTAGTTAGTATATCTCCAGGTTTATATGTATAATATAATAAAGGTAATTACTTAAATGTTTTAGCACCTGTGAAAATGCACAAATGTGAGAAAATCAAACAAATCTGCTGGACGTAGTTTTTCGGATTCTGCTCAAATATGATAAAATCGGATAAATTGAAATCGGATAAAAGCGGACCCGCGTAAAATAAATATGCTTTATGAGCTTCGGTTTTGTTTTAGTAAAACAAAAATATATATTGTAATAAGTACCTATATATCTAGAACAAAAGGGATGAACAAAAATGACATGCGATGGACCGATCAGATCAAGTCGGCAGTTGGCGGCTGTTTGCATGAGTGTACCAGGCTCACGAAAAACTGGGAGGAGTGGCGATTGCTCGTGAGGCGTGATAACATCTGACCACAGCAATGATGCCGGATGACGACCACGACCGCTCTGACAAGAGTGATACGACATACGAATACAAAGTTGTCAACTACCGCAAGTTAAATAGTTTTATTTGGTTAATTTTTCCCCTTTTACACGATTCCTTTGCCACAAAATTTGTTCGATCCCATAAAATAAACCAATACAACTTTAACAAATTTACCTGTGTTTTAGTCACGAACTCCAATATCGCCAAATTACATATTAGATATTTTAATTAACATAAAATGATCAATGAATCACTGTGATAATATCGATTTAAAATTTAAATCGTAAAAAAAACGAAATTGAATAATCATAATAGTCTTTCACGTCAAACTAAGCATCACTTACAACTCGTCATTACATAATTGTGGCTAGTCGTATATTTATTACATGCTTTTATCTTGTATTATATCCACGTTTCTCCTACTCCTAATGGGACTGTATCATGCACATGCTATCCAATGTAGTTCCGCTCCATCTGTCATCATATTACCGCGTCGGATGCACATGAGTTTGTGTACACGTGAAATTGGTTTATTTCCGTTGCCTACAAGACTATATTGAAACGTTTTACGGAAAAGTGAATGATTACTAACATGATGAAACAAGTAAAGAAAAAAAATCAGTTTTAAAAAGATACACACCGTTAAAAATATGTTTTATTATACAATGAACGAACGAAATTAGATTTATTTCTTAAAATGACAAGTATATAGGTATTTACATTTCATAAGAGGTTTTGTGTATAGATTATATAAACACTTAATATGTTTTGTGGATAGATATACCCATCCTGTCAATTTTTACCGCGAAGCTGCCAAGCGTTGTTTATAAGGATGCTTAAACAATAATTTTAAATTCCCATGCCAATTTTACCGCTTTATTGGTTTTTCTTGCTGATTTGATTGTATTATGATTTTTTGTCCCTTTTACACTTTGTTAAATAAATATCGAATTTAATGCATATACTCTTAGTCTCTATATATTATAAAAATGAATTGCTGTTCGTTAGTCTCGCTAAAACTCGAGAACGGCTGGACCGATTTGGCTAATTTTGGTCTTGAATTATTCGTGGAAGTCCAGAGAAGGTTTAAAAAGTGAATAAATATGAAAATGCTTGGAATTATATAAAAACAAACAATTTTGTTTTTCCCTTGATGTGTCCAAGATTGGACGGATTCCTTTTGTTTGTTTTAAGTTTATTTAATACAAAACTTTAGGTCTTTTATTTATCGATTGAGGCAATACGAAGTCTGCCGGGTCAGCTAGTGTTAAATAAAAAATAGCGCTCTCTGTTTTAATGTTGTTGTGAATCACTGAATGTCTTTAAGCCGCGATGTTTTCACTTCACGGTGAGAGTCACTCGTAAAAAGGTGTAAAGTACGTATTTCGTACGTACGTAGGTACGTTTTTTTTTATTGCTTAGATTGATGGACGAGCTCACATCCCACCTGATGTTAAGTGGTTACTGGAGCCCATAGACATCTACAACGTAAATGCGCCACCCACCTCGAGATATAAGTTCTAAGGTCTCAGTATAGTTACAACGGCTACCCCACCCTTCGAATCGAAACGCATTACTGCTTCACGGCGGAAATAGGCGGGGTGGTGGTACCTACCCGTGCGCACTCCCAAGAGGTCCTACAACCAGTGATTACGCAAATTATAATTTTGCGGGTTTGATTTTTATTACACGATGTTATTCCTTCACCGTGGAAGTCAATAGTGAACATTTGTTGAGTACGTATTTCATTAGAAAAATTGGTACCCGCCTGCGGGATTCGAACACCGGTACATCGCTTCATACGAATGCACCGGACGTCTTATCCTTTAGTCTACGAAGATTTTGATGCGTCTATTCAGTGTCGGTTCTATAACATTAGATAGGTATTGGCGCGAAAGCCCGTTTCCCATTCAAGATTTATTACAGAATAAATTCACCTTTTATCTAAGATAATTCGGTAATCTGGTCACACATACGACGTGAACTGTAAGAGGGAAAAAGACAGAAAACTTTGTGAATTTACGATTATAGATTTTTTATCCTTACACGTAATGTGACAATAAATAGAGCATAAAATTTATATGCGTCAGGATAAGTTCGCAAGGAGGCGAAAAAACACAGAGAAAATACAAAATGTAGATAATAAAGATGAAAGACGATGCTGGCAACATGAATTGTGTGTTCTTTAAGTACATCTGTAAATAATGATAGGGAAAATACGGTTTCATTTACAAATCAGAGAACCAAAGTTTTTTCTTTCTAAAAGCTACAAATGTACCTACCTTTTGTATTATTATTTATAATGCCAATTAAGGCAAACGATTTTGGTTATTCTACTTACTTCGGTTAAAGATGGGAACGCGTTAATGATAGCAAATAAACTCTCTACTTTTTTACCTTTTTGTTTTATTTTATTGCTTAGACGGATGGACGAGCTCACAGCCCACCTGGTGTTAAGTGGTTACTGGAGCCCATAGACATCTACAACGTAAATGCGCCACCCACCTTGAGATATAAGTTCTAAGGTCTCAAGTATAGTTACCTTACCTTTACCTTACCCTAC